TGTCAAAATTACACTTCCTCGATCGCCGTCCACTCAACTGCATGGCACCGCCCAATAGCCAGCAGAGTGGCTTACGCAACCGCATAGCACGCCGCTGCGCTGATCGTAACGATACTCTCCATTACGGCGAGACATGGTGGCTTAAGTGTCTCCAGATTGCTGCTGCAGAACCCCGGAACCACACGAGTACGAAATGAGGCAAACAAGGCACGAAGGGCCAAGGGCAGCGCCATTGAATTCGGCCGGCCGGGCTCGTAAGATGTGGCGGAGCATTTCTCGTACCGTTACGTACAAAAATTATGGCGATGGTGGTGATAGTCAAAGATTGCGTCCTACACACATGCAAGCCGGACCCGCGGGCCATGAATGGAGTGGGTTTGACAAAAAATGCAGTTAAGTGCGAAGCCTTTCAGGGGTGCGGGCTGTCTACGGTGTCGCCGCCGCTTTGCAATAACGCAGGCGAAATCAAATATTGCGCAGCCATGTTTTGTTCTTTCATTTTTTTTTCGTAGAAGGACGCAGAATTATGAAACATGAACGTTACGTCTCTCTGCGTACTTATCCAACAACCGACGCTATCTATGGATCACTGACACCAACTATAGCCAAAAAGACCCCCTACTTTACAGTTTGAACCTAAAACAAGAACCTGATCCTGACAGTGAAAGATATTAATATGATGAGGTTGGAATGTCCCAAAGCAACCATCATATTATGAGAGAACGCCGTAGTGTAGGGCACCGGAAATTTCGACCACCTCGGGTTCTTTAACGTGCGTCCAAATCTGAGCACACAGGCCTACAACATTTTCACCTCCATCGTAAAATGCAGCCGCAGCAGTCGGGATTCGATGCCGCGACCTGCGAGTCAGCAGTCGAGTACCTTAGCCACTAGACCACCACGGCGGGGCGACAGTGAAGGATATAACCTATTAATATGCTGATGCGAAGGAATATCAAATACCTTTAAACTAGATAGGATAAAGGCAAATGACTGAAGCGACGAGAAACTTTGGGTCGATAACTTTTACGTACTGTATACGTTGGGCCATTTTACTGGAAACAAATATACGCTATAGTTGGTCCAAGTGCTTCGAACGTATTCTCTGTAACTTCGTCTTAATGAAACGTGAAGTGGTATGAGCTCTGGTGAAGCACAAGAGCCGGGTCAGAAAAGAGGTGGCTGAAGTTAAAAAAAAAATAAAGTACATTAATATTGACGGACAGTTCCATACTGAAGTTTTAATAGTGTTCCGTTTTTTTTTAAGTAGGAACACTACAAAGCGCATTTTGATTCGATTTGAAATTCTCGGACCAGTCGAAGCCAACGTTTCGACAGGTATGCCACCATCGCGATTTTCAATATCGCGCGAGCGTTTACGCCTGCACATGGTGGTACCTAATATAGGCGAAAAGTAACGAGGTTGGCTAAAAGACCAAACTATTGAGATACATATCTATGAAACACGCGACAGATTGTTAGTTAATATTATTGTGTCTAACAAAGAAAAACGAGCCCTAAATTTACACTTGTTTCGTACATGGACACAAACGTACAGTAGACTCAACGGGAGCTGTTCGATCACGAACTCGCTCGAACCAAATTTCCGCTAGAGCCAATTCCCTACAAGAGGCACAAGCGAAGTGAACAGTCTCGTGCGAGCGCCATCTGCTGTTTCGCTTAGAGTTGCACACACACTCACCCTTATCTGGGCGATCGTGTGTTTGTAAAGGCGCTGTGACAGTGATAACTGCAGTATCTCTGATGTCGTTGCTGGTCGTTCGATTTTTAAAAGAAACTATACCAGTATCCCGAGGTCGCTGACAACTAGCGTAACATAATGCAACTGTATGTCTGAGGGAATATTAAAAAAAAAAGTCAATGATAGGCTCTTGTCGAAACAATGGCTCCGGTGACACAGACTGGGACACCATTTCTCGTCACAAAAAATATATCGCGATTTAAATAGAAACAGCACAGGTGCTTAAAAATATTTCGAGCGTTAGAACAGTTTAATGCGGAATACACTGTACGGACTTTGAATCCTTGATAACTTAAAACCGACAGAGATAAATAGTGTGACTGTAGTTAAACGTGAACGATATATAGTCTGCGCGTTTGAATAACCTGAATATTACAATATAAGAAAAAGGTCCGAAAAAAAAGGTAATAATTGTTGGGTTTAACGTCCGAAAACCACGATATGATGATCGGGGACACAAAGGGCTCAGAGAATTTCGAGCACATATATAGTGAACCTAACTGTAGGCACACGGGCCTCAAGCAACGTGAAAGTCTACAAAATCATTTCAGTAGGTATGAAAATATTAGGGACCCACTTACTAAGTGATAAGAATAGTGACTTCAGTTAGTAAATTGAACGAAAAGTGTTCTCGTTAGAAGAGCGGAAGAATCGCTTAACGAAACTTTCGATCGCACACTTCTGCCTCCGCTTTCAACGTGTTGCTCATTTGCAGCCCTGTACACTGAAGAATTTCCTTAAAGCACCAGGTGTTAAAAACCCTGGGTACCGTGTAATCAGCACATAAGGATAGTGTCCAGGGCAATTCAACGACACCTTTTCCTGTGGCTTGTACAATGAGTCGAGGAAAGACGCAAGGAGGAAAACGACAGGGACTAAATGCACCGCGTGACATGCTTCGATACGCGCCTGTTGTTAAAAGTATACACGTAGACAATGAGGGTCGTTCTTTCTTTTTTTTTTTTTTGCTGGCGCATATTTGTCATATGTTCCGGAACAGAGGATCGCAATGCTAAAAGAAAAAGAAAAAAATGTGGCCTGATTACGAAGCATACCACATAGCACGAAGCTTCAGACAAGCTTTTGACCACTTGGGGTTTTGTAAATGGGGCAGACATTTTGCAAGTTCACTGGAATTTTCACACTGAAGCATAATTGAAATGCGGTCGGGCCACCATGGCTAGGATGCAAACCCACGTCCTTTAGCCTGGCATCGGATCCACTTTTCTACGAAGCCACCTCGGCGTGTCGACACATGCTAACTGAGATCTGAGTAATCACTATGCTTATAGCCGGTTCTTGTACACAAGTTTGTTTCACGTAATAAAATACGGCCCCTCTGTGTGTACTTTGATACAATAATAAGTTCATTAAATACCATACAGCCCATTGTGATTCAGTAAGAAGGTCCGTAAATCGCACTACCGACCACTCTTCGAACCAGCGACACTCTAAATTTACCAACCTCGTTGTGTAGTTACTGAAGTTCTTTCTATATCAGTAACTCGCATACACTGATGAAAAAAAAGGGGGGGGGGGGGTATAGGCGTGACTCTTTAGGTGAGTCGTAATTTGCCAAGTATAGACTCTAAAGACATGTTAACTCCATATTAGGTTCCGCGGCCCTCCGACGAGAGATTTCCAGAGCCTCTTTAGAAAGAGTCAATCATGGCACGCGAGGGCTCACACACACACGAAAAAGTCAAAGTACTATTTCATTTCTTTGAGAGTATATCCGGCCAGAGCAGCAGTTGTACCCGCTATAGATTACGTATAGAATTGTGCAAATATGGAAAGATAAAGCAATGGTGCTCACACTATAGTGACCCGATGAGCTTATCTGAACAGAGTGAGCGAATATCGTGTGGCACTATTTTAGGCACCTCGAATGTCGACTGGTAATGGAAGGCTTTGAAATTGGTATACCACTTCCCCTTGATATTCTGAATGAAAAAGTAAGGTCGTAACTTGTTTGAAGGAAAAAAAAAGAAAATGGCATGCAATTGCATCACTACTTTGACGGCATATGTGAACCGCGGTCGCCAACGAGGCTGTCCGATTCCTCATTTACAGATCGTGACAAGATTTCACCGTTTTCTCGTGACAGGCATGGTGTCACAGCTGCTTGCCACAACTATGAAAAAAAAACAGCGAGTTCAAACGCGTTAACATCGTATAGTGAAAAGGTGGTAGGGCTATACAATGTTGGCGTTTTACGTCCGAAAACCGTGCACGATATGATTGAGACGCCGTGATGACTAACAAAGCTAAACCTTGTGTTTGGTGGTTCATAATTTAGACTATCTGGCGGGCTTTGACGGGCGCCTAAATCTAAGCCCACAAGCCTCTAGCATTTGAATTTCAGCGAAATGCGGCAAAAACCCAGTGGCGCGACCTTCGGGTCAGAAGTCCACTAAACCACGGGGACGGGTACCTTACCGATTATTTAAAATGGGAACAGCATGCGGTGAATGGAAACCGGGCCTCTGGCCTAACAAAGATGTTTAAAAACAAAGCGCTTTTGCGACAGGACCAGAGAGTAAATTGGTATATAATGAAAAAAAGTTCGACGTTCGAAGGAAAACAAAAAGCAAAATAAAAGGGTTTTCAATGGTAGGTGGTGATTCAGTTCAGCGCAGGCTTGACGCAATAACGAGGAAGTGCTTTTATAGCTTAGTCATGCCCCGTCTGTTTCGTGATTAGCAGACACGCAAACTGAGAAAACTAGATGGAAGCAGGTTCACACGCCTTCTCAGAGTACAGTAGGCGATTTTTCAGAAAAGTATCGAGGAATTCAGAAAATGAGGGCCGTTCTTTGAAGCCTCGCTCCTGGAGCGAGGTATCCACATTTCGAGCTAGCCGGCTGATATAACACTGGAGGATTTAGTGCACCAAAGGGACAAGGCACGCTTGAAGTCCTAACTTTCAGTTTGTCATTCGTTCGTCTTTCAGGCTGTGCTCAACGCAAAGTCGTGTTCCAGGGCATAGGCATCTGAACACATTCACGTGGTTCTTGTCTCAAAATGTTATACCATGTACCGAGTCGTATCGTTAGACATCTGCTGGTAAAAAAAATCAACATGGGAGAAAGTCACGCATTTTAACTCGGGGCTACGAAATTCGCGACGCTTCTTCGGGATGTGTCGCGGACCACTGATGTAGATGCACAGCCACGACAGAAGGAAAAAAAAAAGTACCATAGACAGTAGTCGCTGAAATGACCAATGGGCACGCTTACCTGGAAATTATGTCCATTGTGTCGTGTGCTGTTGCTTGGAGCTTTCCTCGTATATTTTTTTCTTCTTTCACGTCGTCTGTCTGCCGTCTGAATTCTTCAGCAGTAATAGTCGAACAGTGCTAAGCCACGCCTCCAGGTCTTGCGGTGTCACGATGTAAGTGCAGCGATACAGAGGGTGCGGACACTCGGACACAAGGTATACGGGCTCGGTGCTACGGTCGGGACGGGCGCTCGCCGGGTATGCGACCTGTTCGGCCGACTGCGAGCCGTGCTTTTCCTGGGCCGTCGGCTGCCGCTTTTCCGACAGGGGCCGCGGGAAAGGGCGAGATCTGGCCGGTTTCGAGACGAGGCTGGAGAGAAGGAAGACACCTGTTCCTCCTTGGACGTGATGCCACCTTCCTTCCTCCGCTGGTCTATAAAGGAAGGCGATGCAGAAACGTTAAGTGGCGCCTTCTTGCGTCGAAGAAGGCGCGGAGGAGTGCGCACAATGCCAGAGCGGCTAGCTCGTGTCTTTCAGCGCAAGTGCACGTGGTGACCCTCTTCCGCAAGGTGGTGCTCGAGAGTGCGCTTGCGCGGGAAAGGGGCAGTGGCTGTGGTGTTTGCACTCGGTCTTGTTTGATGAAGCGATGCCGCTGTCGGAAGGCTTTGACCTCATTATCTCTGACGATAGACGCGTCTTCGAAGGCCAGATTTTCGCACCACGATATTGATTAATGAGGACCCTCGAATCTTGGAGCTATTACGCGGCAAAACGAGAACGTCATCACACTTTCCCTAGCGCTGCGCGACGTCAGCAATGATGTGTCTGTCCTGGTGACGAATACATATGGCGATAACGTTTGCGTACGTACCCCAAAAAATAAAAAAAATACATGTTTCACATATTCTTGTCTCAGATTTCCTGTGTAGCTGAGAACGAGACACGCCTCAGTAGCAGACCGCGAATTAACTTTGACAGTAGCAAGTAAAGTTTCGGTTAATTTGGTGGTTCACGTTAGAACGGTCATGCTCCTACACATTGACGAAGCAAAGAAGCACGAAAGAAAATTTTACCTTCTGCTGTTTGCTAACCTGCGTCTAAGTCAGGTAAGCCAGCGTTTATGCATTTCGCCTTTACCGGAATTCAACAGTCGTGGGTGCGCGGGATCGAACCCTTTAGCCTAGTGGTAGGTCAGCACCTTAGTCACGTGGTGTCCCTGCGGACCTCAGGTTGTGGTGGAAGGTGAGATTAAACTCGCTATTATGAATAGCTTTCCTACTGCGTCTTTTATTGGTCGTCAAGATCCGTGTTTAGCGTAAGTACCAATCACGTTTATAATTTGTTTCAGAGACCTTAGTTAACCTTCAGTAAATCACACGCCCTGCCATTTTCACATGACATGTTCGTTTTCCTCGTGCCTGACACTGCTTTATAGCTCAGGTCCAGTGGCGTAGCTGGGGGGAGGCAGAACGAAACCGTTCTCTCTCTCTCCCCCCCCCCCCTTCCGCCGAAATTTTTTTTCGCCATGGCAGACAGCAAAAAATGACCATATCAAGGAGCATACCCCCAACCCCCGAAAAAAATTTTTGCCTATACGCCCCATGCTCAGGGTGTATAATAACATCAAGCTAGATGAAAAAAAAAAATAAGCAAACACGCCAAGAACACCTTGTCTGTAACCTGGCCCAAGTTCTATCTTTTCTTTTTTTAGTTTCTAGCTACGACGCCTAGTTCGTGGTGCTCTATACGAGCAAAAACTCAAATCATCGTTATGCAGCTCTCACATTTGTGTAGAAGAACGTGTGAATGATTATTAGAAAAAAATAGGAATAGTGCACCCACCAACTCTTTTTCTCAGAGCAACACTCCTCAGCGATTGTGCCCAAGGGAAAATATAAGGATGAGTTAAAAAAAATGCAGGGAAGGAGTAGGAGACAGCGTAACTGATCGGCGAGAAGTCTTCGGAGCGAGGGCAGCGCTTGCGGTACAACCGTCAAACGTGAAATCCGCCGAGCGCCCACGTTGCCTAAGCGTATCTGACTCGCTTGCTGGATTCCGCGGCGTGCCGAACGGTTGTTCCCCCGCGATCTACTCACGCTAGCGCAGCTCTCGCCGACTGGTTCGCCCTCTGCGATCTCCTGACTCTCTCTGAGTGGTGCTCTCTCTGAGTGGTGCCCCATCCTCGGTCTCCTTCGACCATGACCCAATTCTTCTATATCAATCTTTGTTTCTCACTCTATCCTTTTAATCCCCCCTTGTCCCCTTCCCTCATGAGCTACTGCTGATGTGTCGCACTTAGATGCAGACCATTGCGGGGCTCACTTTTCTCTTGCTTTCACCTTTTCAAAGAATTAACCCTCCTCCTAAGCGTATGTGCTTTAGAAACGACGCAGTTGTGGATGGTATTGTTTTCGGTAAAGCTTTCAGGGCCCGCAGATTTCGGCGGTGGCGTGGCGTACGAAAACACCGACGCCATCGAACGCGCGGAAATGCGGCCCTTCAAGTTGCATCGGTGACGTGCGTATTCGTACGCGCCCTCTTCCAATGACCAGGGAGCTTTTGAATAGCGTACGCAAAACATTTGCGATAGCGTTTCGCGCCACTGCGCATGCATCGTCATCATCAGCCTGACTACGACCACTGCAGGACAAAGACCTCTCCCATGTTCCGCCAGTTAACCCGGTCCTGTGCTTGCTGCTGCCAATTTATACCCGCAAACTTCTTAATCTTATCTGCCCACCTAACCATCTGTCCCCCCCTAACCCGATTGCCTTCTCTGGGAATCCAGTTAGTTACCCTAATGACTGCGCATGCGTCGTACACTAAACGCTTGCGGGCCTTCGCTAAGTGACAGAAATAGCGGGTGACTGCAAAGCCGGCTACCTTAGCGTACGCTATTCGAAAACTCCATACTGACACTCCCAGGTGCGTTCTCGAGCGGCAAAGGCAGCCAGCTGCTGACCCGCAGGTCACGGGATCGAATCCCGGCCGCATTTCCGATGGAGGCGAAAATGCTTGGGACCCGTGTGCCTAGGTGCACGTCGAAGAACCACCAGTGGTCGCAATTTCCGGAGCCCTCCATTACGGCGTCTCTCATAATCGTACCGTGGTTTAGGCACGTTAAACCTCAACGATTCTTACTATCTGTCGATACTGAGTTCTTCGGCGATCAGCCGCTTCTGACATGGCAGTGGGATGCTTTATGTCGGTAACCCGTGATTTCACGTTATCGTGTTTTATTGTTGCCTGCATGAACGTGGACGCATGTCCACCATTGTTGCCTACACAAACTGAACTGTTGCGCTGCCAAGTACACAAGAAGGTTGGATTCCTGGCATAGATGAAGGAAACAGTTTCGCAATGTGACAGATAGCTTAATAAACGAAAGAGGCATTCTGAGGGCCCGTTTTTTTTTTTTGCTTGGGGCACCAATAATTCGATCTAACAGACAAGGAAACCTAGGAAAGTTTAAGGCATGTTATTTGTAGTATTTGTGATTGAAATCTGATTGCGGAGAAAATAAACTGGATGATAATATGACTTGCCACTTGTCGGAACCGAACCTGTGACCTTCGAATACTGCGTTAGATGCTCTAGCGACTCGGGTATACAACGACGGTAATCCCCTCCGTCCGTATCTTAGGGTATATTTCTGTATATAAGTCCAGGAGTGTTAGTCAGGGCCGCTAGTATATATATATATATATATATATATATATATATAATATATATATATATATAATATATATATATATATATATATATATATATATATATATATATATATTGCCGCATTCATATATATATATATATATCGCCGCATTCAAGCTGCAGAGGAGAGCTCGCGCAGCCAGAGAGGAAGACGAAGCTCTTGCCCGGTCCTCTTTACGAGCGCCTTTCATTTTTAATTAAAGTGAGCTTTTCTATATCGGACTCCTGCTGTGTCTGCGTCGTGACACTGGTGGAGGTGCTGGGTACATGTCTAGGGCACCTTCCAACAGCCCGGGATCTAGTCCACAAAGACTTTCGCTCGTCGAAACACCCGTTCACCGCGCCAGCCGCCGCCTGTTAGGCCTGAGCCCAGAGTTCGTTCCTTGGACGGAAAACATGACCGCGCCAGGAAGCAGTTGCCCCACCATGACAAGCCCAAGCACGACAAAGGTGACTGTTTTCACCCCTAAAACTCCTGTGGACTTCTATGGCAACACATATGAGGACGCAGATGACTGGCCTGAGGAGTTCGAGCGCACAGCCAACGTTAACGGGTGGAACGCCGCACAGAAGTTGGGGTGCGTGTATTTCCCTCTTCAAGACGGGGCTCGCACATGGTTCACGAATCGCGTGTGGTGAACGTGGGACGAGTTCCGGCGGAAGTTCCTGGACACCTTCGCAAACACCGAAAGGTGGGAGCATGCACAGCGACTCCTCGAATCACGGATTCAAAAGCCCAACGAGTCTGTTGCTATGTTTGTTGAGGACATGGCTGGTCTCTTTCATCGAGCCGATCCCGATATGTCCGAGAACAGAAAGATCAGCCACCTCATGCGTGGTGTTAAAGAGCACCTGTTTGCTGGTCTCGTACGGAACCCACCTTCAAGCGTCGACGAATTTTCGAAGGAGGTGACCACCATCGAACGCGCACTACAGCTACGGTACCGCCAGTACGACCGCCCAAACAACAGCGGACAAATCAGCGCAACCACCGTGACCACTGTGACACCTGACGAGCGTTCTTTGCGTGACCTGATACGCGAAATTGTGCAAGAAGAGGTGAAGAAGCTCACCGCCACACCGAATAACTGCGCGATTGCGTCGGTCACAGAAGTTGTTCGCCAAGAAATAAGGCAAGCGCTTTCACTTCCCGAGCCGAACACTGAAATAGTTAGGCCAACATATGCAGATATTCTCCGTCGAACGCCTAGATCTAACGTGCCGCCACTTCAGCAGTACCACCAGCAACAGCCGCCGACAGTGCCTTGGTACTACAGGGAAACGTCGACACCGATGCGACCCCCACTCCGCAAAACCGACATATGGCGTACCCCTGACTACAGGCCCCTGTGCTTCCATTGTGGGGAAGCAGGCCACATCGTGCGGTATTGTCCTCATCGCGTGGCCGGGTATCAAGGATTTCCGTCCGCTACCCCTCGGCGCTATTTCGACGGAAGACGCAACGTTGAAACGAGCACGACGATCCCGCGGGACGTTTCTCCTGGGTTCCGGTCACGCTCGCCCTCCCCTGGTCATTTTCCCCAATCTAATAGAGGTAGCACCACGGACATGTCGAGAGGAAGATCTCCCAGTCGAGAGGAAGGAACTCCGATTCTTAGGACATGTGGTGAGCCATGAAGGTGTTTGTCCGGACCCCGACAAGATTGACGCCGTCCGAAAACTTCCGGT